CCGGGCTTGGCTCGTACGGGTTGGACTGCGTGCGGGCCCGCAGTAACAGCCAAGTTGATCAACCCTGATCCATCGGGGGGCCTGGTCATGGACCGGGCCGCGGGGGCGTTGATCCCCGGAATAACCTCCAGGTAACCTGCTTATCCACTGGATGAAAACTCTCCACTACCTGGCACTATCCACTGGAAGAAACTCTCCACTACCCGGCACTATCCACTGGATGACTCTCCACTACCTGGCACTATCCACTGGATGACTCTCCACTACCTGGCACTATCCACTGGATGACTCTCCACTACCTGGCACTATCCACTGGATGACTCTCCACTACCTGGCACTATCCACTGGATGACTCTCCACTACCTGGCAACATCCACTGGATGAAGCTCTCCACTACGTGACACTGGATGAAACCAAGATCAGCTGTGTTTTCACTGGACACTGTTGGGGTCACTGAGAGGTGTGGCATCACTGAGCCCCTGGACCCCTGTTGGGGTCACTGAGAGGGTGTGGCATCACTGAGCCACTGGACATGTTGGGGTCACTGAGAGGGTGGGCATCACTGAGCCACTGGACACTGTTAGGGTCACTGAGCGGGTGTGGCATCACTGAGCCACTGTAACTGGGGTTTACTGAGAGGGTGTGACATCACTGAGCCACTGGACACTATTGGGGTCACTGAGCTGGTTTGACATCACTGAGCCACTGGACACTTAGGGTCACTGAGGGGTGTGGCATCACTGACCACTATCACTGTTAGGCCATTTAGCGGTGTGGCATCACTGAGCCACGGACCCTGTTAGGGTCACTGAAATGGGTGTGACATCACTGAGCCACTAGACACTGTTAGGGTCACTGAGTGGGTGTAGCATCACTGAGCCACAAGACACTGTTGGGGTCACTGAGCGAAGTGTGACATCACTGAGCCACTGGACACTGTTAGGGTCACTGAGCGGGTTGGCATCACTGAGCCACTAGACACTGTTAGGGTCACTGAGCGGGTATGGCATCACTGAGCCACTGGGCATTGTTTTGTGTCACTGAGCGGGTGTGGCATCACTGAGCCACTGGTAAAAACCACAGGCAAGTCCCCACTCGTTCTTTGATTCGTTTGCATTCATGCTATTACGATTTCCCGAGTCACGACAGCTACAAGCGCTGGTAATCTCTGGCTTTACTCTACACTTGCTTAGTGAGTACCTTCAAGAGTGAAATCAGAAAATCTTGTAGATGAATGGTTCAGAGAACAGACAAGTTGATAAATTAGACACATGTGCAACGCTTGGGTATCTTTAAGGAGGAAACGTTTCGCCACAGTGGCTTCATCAGTTCATACAAAGGAGAATGGTGAAGAACTCCTGTTCTTCACTATTGAGTTTTTCGTCATGGTGTTTCGACTTACTGTATAGTACACTGTAGTCAAATATCTTTCAACGTTTACCCCACGTAGATTAGCTTGTTTATTAGAGCTGAATAATATTTCAGATGTAAAGTATACACTCCTTGCTTCACTAGTAGGGCTTCGATAAACTTATCTGATTACAACTGTAGACCGCATCCCGCAATTACCCTTACCTCAGATATATGTGACCGGTTCCGAGTTCAATTCTGGTAGCCCGGCCTGAGATTGAGCTTGTATAGTGACCACCTGATCAGCTAAGCTATCGCTGCTCGTGGCCCTTGAATTTATAGACTGTCTGGGATTCAAAAGCAGTTGTTTGGAAAAGAATACTTGGGAAAAGCATGAGCGGCACAAACAAAACAATTTATTATATAAAGGATTTTTTTATTTACAATGTTGAATTTACAGGTTATGAGAAGTTATTCCACCTCAGCTCATTTACAGCCTAAGAGCGGTTATCCTGCCTCAGCCCATTTACAAAGAGCAGTTATCCTATTTCAGCTCATTTGCAAGATAAAAGCTGTTATATTGCCTCAACTTATTTACAGTCTAAAATTAGTTATCTTACTTCAGTTTATTTAACCTATTAGCAGTTATCCTACCTCAGACAATTTAGTCTAAGAGCAGTTATCCCACCTCAGCTCATTTGTAGGCTAAGAGCGATTATGATAACTCAGCGTATTTACTATTTAAGATGAGTAAACCTATCTCAACTCATTTACTGGCTAAGAGCAATTACTTTGCTTAAGCTCATTTACAGCCTAAGAGCAGTTATCCCACCTCAGCACAGTTTACAGCCCAACCTTATCTAAGGACAACGCTACTTACATAAGAATGGTTTTCAAGTACTTGGATCAACTTGGCATACTGTCGACCACTGACAAAGAGATAAGTTGCAGCATCATAAATTTTTGTTAGGATGCTTCTCTCTGTTTACAACTTTATCAAGAGTGAAACAATGCTCTAATATGAGCCTGCTCTGCAGCGTGGTTTTCTACACCCAGGTATCTATCTATATACTGCAGTCGGAAACTACACCCACTGCAAGGAATAAATAACTGAGTGTTAAAGTTTAGTTCTTCTGAGTTTGAAGATATTACAAGTTCAGTAAAACATGATCCAGTTCTTTGCCTATTCAAATTTTTTTAACAACCTCAGTTGCGATATAGTTTTTTTAATTGGTCTCTTTACAATACAAATTTCGTGTGAGTTATGAACATTTAATTCGATAAGAGACAAAGACAGACACACTGTGGGACATCGACAATGGTCTGTTGTTTAATGTCATTCCTCAGGCTTACTGAGATTGACTTCTAATGCATCTCTTGGGTGAATTAACAGTGTATTCTTACTTTGTACGAGGATGATGGAACTAGCAATATTTCGTCATGTATTCTTGCTCTTCATGGAAATTGAAAACATACTAGGACTCCTGGTACACTAAACGGTCACATAAACGTTAAAACCATCGCAGACAATATTTCAGCATGAATTTCAAAATCAGGCGGCTAAAATTAAATACTGTTATGTGAATGCAGGAGTACGCGTTAAGTCTATTATACAGGAAGAGCCTGCTCATATTAGCCCAATCTCCTGCTATTTTATTTTTACCAGTCTTACACATGGGCTCCGCTACAGCTGTTCCAGGAGGTTCAAAGTTTCCAGGGGGATAATGGAACGGACAAACTTTAAGAGGCCAGTGCAGTCATGACAGCACTTTACTAGTACTACTTGCTATCTTGTGATGGCTCCTGGGTTCACTCTCATGAACATTCAGACTGCTGGTGCTGGACTGATTCCAAATCTGGACAGAGATCAGCACGAGAACTAAAGGCTAGGCACATGGTTTATATTACCGCCAATGAACAGTAGGGGCTCGATGAATACACTGAGAGGCAGTTCAAATAACTGTAAGGGAATCAACTCTTCAACATCCCTCGTGCATAAGGGAAGTATCAACAGATCCCTGGCTGTCTTCAAGAGAGAACTTATTAAGTACCTCAAGTCAGAACTGATCAGCCGGACTGTTAGTGCTTACGCTGATCTGCGTAAGACTGACACTAATGGCTTGGTCAATCAGATTGGCAAGTAGGAGGCCTAGTAACATTGGGTCGTGAGGGTGGTGAACCGTGAAACTGACTACAGGGAGCTCGCATTAATTTTAATAAATTTGCCTCCTGAAGGCCGCTTGTGGGTAATTCCTCTTATACTCGATTTGATTAAAGACTACTGATAAATATTGGGAGAACAGGACCTCGTTAATTATAAAGCTATCTGTAACCATGTTACTGCAAGCCTCAGCATTAAATGAGAGAATAAAAATATTTTTTTAATTCTTAAAAATAGTTACGGTGGATAGGTTAACAGTTCACGTGGTTATATATACTGTGCTTCCTACCAGTAAATATATACTCTGTAATTAGTGGATTGTTATGGTGGCATCCCAGGGGGACCATCTAGGAACCCCGGGGGAAATGAGCCACAATGTTAAGGTAATTTTCATCTGTTGAACTTCCGGCGTTAGTGTAAAAATCTTCCTAGAGTATGAAACCTATGCTGAGTTTCCTAAACAGTAATAATTAGTTTTTATTTGCCATGATGAGACTTACCAACTAATTATTTAAAATAAGCGGCATAAAACAAAGTTATACTGCAGTTTCCTTCATAAATGCGACGCCATCATGACAATATGTAGTGAGTGTTGGGCGTGTACGTGTGACATAATTCCCAGACAAGGCATCAGCAGAGTGTTTTGATGCCGGTGAAGAGCTCTTGTTCCAGGAAATTGGAACTAAATTCCTGTTCCTTGGATCAAACTTCATTATCTTCCATTCACGCTTTTCCATGGATTAGTAACTTTATTCAGTTATAGGCAGACATAAATATAGTTACATAAACTATCATACATATCAGCATATGTGTAGATTACCTAGGATAACCCAGGAAGGTCAGACATATTTCACTGGGACTCTTGAAACAACTATTAATATTACATTTAGTTCTTTGGTGCGGATTAAATTGGTCGCGACACACAAAATTACTACGATACCCAAACTGACACGATACATAAATTGGTCACAATACATAAGTTGGTCATGATACATAAAAGTTGTCATGATATATAAATGAATGATCTACAGTGAACAATGGTTAATTTGTAGATACTAAAACCGTTTTGATGTGTATGTAAACAACGTAAACCGCGAACTAACTTACGATAAATTTTACAGTTGAGCGCATAAGAAAATATTAGGAGGGCAGCAAGCAGTGCATGTCCTGCCCACATTAACTAATTTTTAAGAAAATGTTCATCCGGAAGGCAGGAATAAGGAAGAGAGGTTTATAAAGCGTTTCTGAAACAAATATGGCTTATCAAGGGTTCCTGAAATAAATAAGATACTGTCTGTGGTATATTAAAAGTTTACAAAATAAATAATGAAGTGTATGAAGTGTTATTTATGAAGGGGTCATGAAATTATAGCTATGGTGTATCAAAGTCCGTGAAATAAATAAGGAAGTATAGTGTATCAAGGGTCCTTGAAATATACAAGGATGGTGTATTAAGAGTTCATGAAATAAAAAAATCATGATGGCTTACCAAGGGTCCCTTTTTAGTTACTCCTTCACCTCCCTTCCTGAGACGCAGCCTGAAGGTGGTAGTGTCCATCCTGCTCTGTCTGGTGTTGTCTCCACTCCTCCTCACACTGGCAGGGGAGGAACGCTCTCCCAAACTGCTCAAGTTGTGAGTTCTTGCACTGTGCAACACATTCACACTCCCACTACCACTACCACAGCCCTCACTGTTCTGGGCATCCTTGGGTTTAAAATTCGAGGTAACCGCGTTATCATTGCTATGGTGTGTTGCTGTAGCGCTTGAGTGGGCATTTTTGCTCACTGTGTAATCACTGGCACTAATTACACTAGACGGACTTACACTTTTGGCACTGTTAGCAGTTGTTGCACTACAAGGGGGCGCGCTGGGCCTGCCTCCGTTACATGGTGGGGCCAAGGGGTCGCGCGCCGCTACACTACCATCTCTTTTTCCACTAAATGCACTGTTATCTCCTAGAATACCGGTCTCTATAGGCGGAGACCGAGTAGTAGTATGAGTCTGCACTGAAAAGCTATTGGCCAGCCGCGAGTTAGCGGCGTAAGCCGACATAACGTGACATAGGGACCCACTCTCACTGGCGGCTCTCACCCAACTGAGCTCTAGGGTCCGGGCCCCTCACGCGGTGCGACGCTGCCGTCCTTCCAGCTTCACCCACCATCTCTTCTCTAAGTCAAACATCACTCCCACAAGCTTCCCACCAAGGTTTACTCCACAAGACACTTATTTGGACTCACCACACGTCACATGCAGAAACAGAGGGTAGGAGGGCTGTGGGCTGGGGGTGAGTTAGGTCTTGTTCCTGCCATACGGCTGACAACGGCACGTCGTGGATGGCAGATCCTACACCGCTGCCACGTTTCTACTATACAACTTAACCATTTATTCACCAGGCAACATGGCACTGCTACACCGTAATCAGACATTATTACGCCGGGATGGTCACTAAAGTGACCCACAGGAATCATGATCTTGTATAACTTGGTGTATTTCATCGTCGGAGCTTTACTTTCTGTGTAGTGAGTTGAAGGAGATGGTGACGCTGAGTTTATCACGTGAGGAGTTTGGGAATGTCTGCAATCTGGCTCATTGCTTGCTGCTTGCTGCTTGCTGCTTGCTTGCTTACGCCACCCACCACCTAATGAGAACTCGACTCAACAAGAAATGCAGCAGCTCACATATATGACGCCCATCATTATGACAGTGCTAACTTTACATTTAGTATTTTTTTAAGTAACTCTGTAATTTATGTACGTTCAGTTGCATATTTTAGGTGAATCACAATTGTCCTACCTAGTAACATGTATAAATTACTTAGCACAACTCAAAAAATATCAGTGTCTTATTTTGTACTATTCTTAAATTTTTCCTGAGTGAAACGTTGGGCATGTTACCCTACACTGCTGTCCCTCTTCACCTAGCAGTAAGTTAGTACCTGGGCGTTAGTCGACCTGTTGTGGGTCGCAGCCTGGGGGAGAGGCTTAAAGGACCTTAGTGGAAATAAAACAGACAGTCCCTGATGACAACCCTGACTTTATAGGGACTAACTCTCCCCTGGGCTAATATCCAAACAAAATCTTGTTTCTTATCTTTTCTTACGGAAGCAACTTCTTTCTATTATATGTAATGCAGCAGTTACCTAGTTACCTAGTTACCTAGTTACCAGTTACCTAGTGTAAAATGTTAGAAACAAAAAAATGTGTCAAAATTAACGCTAAACTTGCAGTAATAATAGCAGCTAGACACGGAAACTTCAGGATAACTGGAGGTTTCTGGAGAGAGTTCCGGGGGTCAACGCCCCCGCGGCCCGGTCTGTGACCAGGCCTCCTTAGGTCAGTGTCCCAGGATGCGACCCACACCAGTCGACTAACACCCAAGTACCCATTTTACTGATGGGGAACATAGACAACAGGTGGAAAGAAACACGTCCAATGTTTCTACTCTGGCTGGGAATCGAACCCAGGCCCTCACCGTGTGAAGCGAGAGCGTTAACCACCAGGCCACCAGCTATGTAGGTTGTGGAAATTTTTTAAATAATTTCCTAAATGTAGAACAAAATGGATAATATAATAATTGCGTATTAAAATGTGATTCTATTTGGACCCTTCGAAAAATTTTAAGTGAAGGGGTGTGTGGAACAGCCAGTAGGGACGCCGGGGAGGGGCCATGTTGAATTTAATGTGTGATCACTGGTCGAAAGTATGTACCAGGAATTCGACGTTTTCCGAGGCCTAATAGGGTGATTCGGCCTGAATTTGTAATAGGAACCCGTGTTAATGTTCCCTGCAAAAGATTTGGAACAGGAAATTTGCAAGACCTCAAGAATTACGTGTGAATGGTGAAATAAATGTGGACATTACTCACAGGAAAGTACACCATGGTCTTTGCATTCAGATCTAGCAGGCCAGTGTAGTTTCTAGATGTTAGGCAGGTGTTGTGGTGTGATCCATCTACAATAACTGAATGGTAAGTGGTAATAACACCATTGGATTATATGTATTGTACTAATAGTTATATTTTTGTGGACCTAGCAAGCAAGTCTAATCCTATACAGTCCACCTAACTGTAATGCACCAGAGTAGCTGGTTTTAATATTGTAATTATCAATTTAATGTCAAGTCTAGCTTTTTGTGATAGGAAGCGGGCAGTCGAAGGAGTGACAGTTCAGTGACCTACTGTGAATTAAGTCCCGCTTACTTCACCCAAATTACTTGTAGGTAATAATTCAGGTAATATCCTGTGAACCTTCTGCAGGAGATTTGCTCATACTAATAATAATAATAATAATTTTTCACATAGGTTATGGTGTGGTCACCGACGTCATCAATCATGTGCTGTTGTTTAGTGTTTAACTTTGGCTAAGTTACTCGAGGTCGAGGGAAGAGTATCAACAAGATATTGGAGCCTAGAACTAGTCCTCCTAGATAATCTTCCAAGGAACTGGAGTTAACCTCCACTTCCTCGGATCTAACCTTATTGCCTCTTGCTCAGGAGCTGTACGACCCCTGCGAGTCAAACGCCTCCTAATGATGACAATAATAATGATAATCTGAATAACCGAAACGTTGTGAAGATAGTACGGGAATACAGGGAAACTTTCAAGAGGAAACTGGACATCTACTTACTGTAAGTGGTAAATCAGCACAATTGTGTTGGCTGTGTAGGCTCGCGGATCGCTGGCAGCAACAACCTAGTTGATCAGGAAGCCAACAAACTTGTCTAGATTCAGGCAGAGAATAAAATAACTCTCGAAATCGGTCACAGGTGTATAATAATAGCAATCAATATGTAAGAGTGAGGACGGGTGCATCTACACCAAGTGTGTGTCTTGGTACAGTCGCCATGAGTGTAAGTCCTAGTTAGTTATCATAGTGTATTAAGTGAATTTTGGCTCTGCGATGTCCTATTGTCATTGATATACCGGGTCGCTGACACATTGTGTCTATTAGGCATTTTGTTAACCAGGACAAATGGGAAGGCGACTCCTCAGCGGATCTTAGTGATGTGGTGATACGTTCAGTGGAGCTTTAGGTCACCTGACCACCTCTGATTAACCCACTCCGTAAAAAAAAGGGTTACAAAAGTTTATCCTCGCTACTAAAAAAATACTTTTTTCCTGTCCTAAGACATGCGTGTTTTCCCCAGGAGTATATAACCGCAAGGATTTAACTGATGACTGCCAGTGAATTTATTGGCAGGTTAGTATCTGCAGTGGATGCTACATAACTCAGCACAGACACTTGTGGTACACGGACACAAGATGGTTAAGAACAGTCACCTGTTCATACTTTGCCCGAGGTGTAGAACTACATCCAAAATTTTCAGTACCTTGAAATTTGTTCAAAGATTAGTGCCATACTCTTCCATAGGAGCCAGAAATGTTAAGTGAAATAACACGATTTTCGGCAATTCACTTAATAACGAGTTATCAAGTGAATTGCCAAAAAAAAAAAAAAGGGGAATGCAAACCCTCAGGAAAGATTGTGTACATCTATAATATTTTGTTAGTCGGTTGATAGTAACTCAGGGAGTAGGTTCAAAAGTCTAATTTATAAGCCTAAATAGCCTAACAGCACCGTTAACTGGGCCAGTAGGCTGGCATTAATATATTATAATAACATACCACCATCTCCTGATTACATGTATTAGGTTTTTTACTTCACATTTCTAAGGTAAGTGTCCTGCCTCTTGCCTCCCAGTGTTCGGCCCCAGACGGACTGACCATCACTGATACCACATCACGGTATGGGTGAGGCTTGAACCCATTGCAGACGAGTCCTGGAACATTGGCTTATGAGTTTTAGGACTTGTCTGCCATGTTTCAATCCCCACCCGTTCCATGATTTGTTTGCAATCGTGTTATTGCGATTTCGTGAGTCATTGATACCATACTGTAGGCCACACACTGCGAAATGACTGCTAATTCTATTTTTAATGCTGGGGCTGAAAAATTAGTCTCCAGCCACAGCTCGACTCCCCATTTCGTAGACATGAACTACGTCAGTACTCGTCTACGGAAAGCGCTGTTAACCATGAGGTAGGCAAACTTTATAATTTATATAGGAGAGTCAAAAACAAGACCAACTGGTCCTTTCATCCTTGAAGCAGTCTGAGGCTGACTTTATCAATCCTTTTATGTTTCATGTTATATTACAAATACTCTAGAAAGGAAACATCACACAACGTTTCGATTCCTCCTAGAGACCATTATCAAGTCGCAAGTGATCGAGAAAATGAGGAAAAAATCAAAGACGGGCCAGGTAAAGACAAGAGGAAGTCAGAAGACAGATCAGGTGAGTAGTACTATTAAGATAATACAGAAAACGAATTATATATCAAGAGGATGAAGTAACTAGGTTAGCTTCAAGGGGACGAAGTAACTAGGTTAGCTTCAAGGGGATGAAGTAACTAGGTTAGCTTCAAGGGGATGAAGTAACTAGGTTAGCTTCAAGGGGACGAAGTAAATAGGTTAGCTTCAAGAGGATGAAGTAACTAGGTTAGCTTCAAGGGGATGAAGTAACTAGGTTAGCTTCAAGAGGATGAAGTAACTAGGTTAGCTTCAAGGGGACGAAGTAAATAGGTTAGCTTCAAGGGGATGAAGTAACTAGGTTAGCTTCAAGGGGACGAAGTAAATAGGTTAGCTTCAAGGGGATGAAGTAACTAGGTTAGCTTCAAGGGGATGAAGTAACTAGGTTAGCTTCAAGGGGATGAAGTAAATAGGTTAGCTTCAAGGGGATGAAGTAAATAGGTTAGCTTCAAGGGGATGAAGTAAATAGGTTAGCTTCAAGGGGATGAAGTAAATAGGTTAGCTTCAAGGGGATGAAGTAACTAGTTAGCTTCAAGGGGATGAAGTAAATAGGTTAGCTTCAAGGGGATGAAGTAAATAGGTTAGCTTCAAGGGGATGAAGTAAATAGGTTAGCTTCAAGGGGATGAAGTAAATAGGTTAGCTTCAAGGGGATGAAGTAAATAGGTTAGCTTCAAGGGGATGAAGTAACTAGGTTAGCTTCAAGGGGATGAAGTAAATAGGTTAGCTTCAAGGGGATGAAGTAAATAGGTTAGCTTCAAGGGGACGAAGTAAATAGGTTAGCTTCAAGGGGATGAAGTAAATAGGTTAGC